CATATAGTGATATATGTCAGTGTTGTTCATATAGTGATATATGTCAGTGTTGTTCATATAGTGATATGTCAGTGTTGTTTATGTGTCAGTGTTGTTCATATAGTGATATGTGTCAGTGTTGTTCATATAGTGATATGTGTCAGTGTTGTTCATATAGTGATATGTGTCAGTGTTGTTCATATAGTGATATATGTCAAATATTGATATGAAAGTGTTGTTCATATTAAATATATGTATTATATGTTTATGTCAGTGTTGTTCATAAATAGTGATAATGTTCAGTGTTGTTTATATAGTGATATGTGTCAGTGTTGTTCATATAGTGATATGTCATGTTTTTTGTTTATATAGTATGTTTTATCTATTTTTTCATTTATTTTGTTTATATAGTGATGTGTATCTATTTTGTTTATATAGTGATGTGTATCTATTTTGTTTATATAGTGATGTGTATCTATTTTGTTTATATAGTGATGTATGTCAGTGTTGTTTATGTATATATTTTGTTTATATAGTGATATATGTCAGTGTTGTTTATGTATATATTTTGTTTATATAGTGATATATGTCAGTGTTGTTTATGTATCTATTTTGTATTGTTTTATTTTTCTTGAATTGTTTGAAGTTTTCAAACTGGATACTTTGAGTAAACAAATGGAGGAATATGAAACTACAACCTCACGGGATTGGAATTTAGGCTGGGATGAAGGCATAATATCTGTTCTCACCTTATTTTAGATCTGAGATGGCACTCAGTTCTGGAGATTCCAATGCTACAGCAGCACCTCCCTCATTCCCCTAAAAGAGTTTGGGTTAATGTAATATTGATCTCAAAATGACAGTGGTCATGGGGAGTGGACAATTTTTGTCCCTGGTCACGTTCATATTTATGTGTGTGGGCACCCCACATTAAAACCATCATTGTGTCATAACTTGCCTTGCTGGGGAGGTGAATAAATACCCCATTTTTAAAGTGAAAAAAGGTACATAATTTGTACAATAGTTAGGCTTTTGTTGTAACATTAATGTTATCAAAACATGATAGATCTTGTGTATTGCCTTTATTTATTTTTTTTTTTTTTTTCAAATCAATTTTGGTGAATTTCCTGGAGTTGAGACAAAAGACGTTTGTTAAATTGCTGATTCCCAAAGAACAAATAGCATGGATGACATATTCAACTCCCTTAAAAATAAACAATTGTTTCAACACCTGCCTGTTCTGCATTGTTAACTGTCTAGTCTGCTGAATACATTTGTAATCTTGCTGTTTCAAATAAGAGGTTTTTTAAGCTGAGTAAAAATTTCTGAAAAACGTGTATTTGTATACAATACAAACCCCATTTTTTTGCTTTTAATTTTCATTCAAAATTTCTTGTGTTCTACACAAGAAAATAAAGTAGATTTGACGAAAGACATTTGGTAACAAAATGACAAAGAGTATACTGAATTAAAATCACAGTATATTTAGATTTTACAAGGCTACTTATCTGGAACATTCACCAAAGACTGAATTCTTGCAGATACAGTATTTTAACCATTATAGATAATTAATTTTTTTAATAATCTGGCACAATGTTACAAGTTTGAACAATACCTGATATTCCTTGTTGATCATCCATTTGCATTTGATCAGATTTGACGTTGCTTAACATTTGATTATTACTTAAACTTTATTATCTATTGTACTGAATGCATTTGCAATTGTACTGTTTCAAATAGATTTCCGCCCTGGGTATGACTTTATAAACTAATAGATTTTTGGGTAAGACAATAAATTACATCCAACAGCAAGGTTTCTGATTAGGTTTTGAGGAGCGTTTTTTTATCTATTAATTGTTGGTGTTCCCAGGTTCCCCCTGACCTGTTGTATGGTAGTACCTGTTAGGGGTCCCAGCTATGGATAAATAGTTTCTTTTCCAAACTATGAAAGTGTAAAATAGGTTTTAATACCAAAAATTGTTAAAAAATTATTACATACAATACATTATTACTAGCTATACATTTTTGAAAAAAAAGTGCCAACTATAAATTAAAAAAAAACATTACCAGCTATAGATTAAAAAAAAACATTACCAGCTATAGATAAAAAAAAGATTACCAGCTATAGATTAAAAAAAACAAATTGCCAGCTATAGATTAAAAATAAAAAAAATTACCAGCTATAGATTAAAAAAAAAATTACCAGCTATAGATTAAAAAAAATTTAAGTTATAGATTAAAAAAAACAAATTACCAGCTATAGATTAAAAAAAACAAATTACCAGCTATAGATTAAAAAAAACAAATTACCAGCTATAGATTAAAAAAAACAAATTACCAGCTATAGATTAAAAAAAAAAAAAAATTACCAGCAAAACATTTTTGAAAAAAAAAAAAACCTGCAAAAAAAATCTTGTCAGCATTAAATAACCCATTAAAAATCTTGTCAGCATTAAATAACCCATTAAAAATCTTGTCAGCATTAAATAACCCATTCTGGTTGATATGCTGTAAAATAAACAAACAAATCAAACAGATTTTTTATGCTGATTAAACATTTTTGAAAAAGTAGACCTGTGTTTAAAAAAAAAAATTTGCTGTTTTGATTTTAATTTCCATTCAAAATTTCTCGTATTATACACAAGAAAATATAGTATGAATTTGTGATTCTTAACAATCAAATGTCGATCAGGATGTTCATCGGAAGTTGTTGTTTGATGGAATTTTCATTTTCTTCTGGAGTGAATATACAAAGACTGGATATATTGACCTCAACAAATGCTGTTTAGTCAAAATTAATCAGTTGAAAATTTAAAATAATTACATGGTTTTATTCTTTTTTAATGTAATTTATGCTTGGCAATATACTTTTCCCACATTTTACCTCTGATAAACGCAGCTCATGTTTGTGGTGTATGTGTTAAAAATAGACTGGACAAGTTTTTTGGCTTTTTTTTTTTTTTAAATCTTTTCTTCTCAAGCAAGATGATGAAGCGACTAAGAAGCAAAGGGTTATGGGAGTGAAAGAAAATGAGAAAACTTCAGAAGGAACTGAAAACCTAATCCTAAACAGGAAATGAAGGTGTTATAGTGGAACACACCTATTCTATAGTTAATAGACTCTCCCACCTATAATAAGTAGGAGTAGTAAGAGTAAAGAGTAAGTCGCAAAGTCGCTCAGGGAGTTGGTCAGTGAGTCGATGTCGGACGACCGTTAGTCGGATACTAAAGTATCAGCGACCACAACTAGATTTCTCTGCATCATTACCTATTATATCAAGTTCCTAACATTTTGTACGTCGAACCTATTTTAGGACCGACTTAGTACCAAATACAAGCCTCCACTATGAAATTACTCCATAACAGAAGGATAAACCTCTAATCCTGTTTAATAGACAAGGAAGGAGTGTGAACCAGGTGATAGGCAAACCTATCTACTCCTATTTAAAAAAAAAAAAAAATTAAAAAGTTGTAAAGATTTTGGCATTGATTTTTATTCCTGATAGCACAAGGTTACCTTGCTAATATTGTTAAAGGAAATTTTTGTATTTAATGACAATGAAAAGTGTCAAGTTATTTTATGTGTATCTAATGTGAATGATTGTTTTTATTAGGCAATTTCCTTAGGGTGTGAAATTTTACATAGTACATATAAATTTCGTTCCTGACATGCAATATTTACTGTAGTTTTGTGATGTTCCATTTTCATTTCAAAAGTTGTTCAGAATATTGATCCCCTAACCTTGCTAAAAAACAAATGTGGCCCCCTGCTTACTGTACCTCGATGTTTCTTTTTGACTCCTGAACCAACCAGACCTATGTTGGTCATTTTGAATCTCAGCCCAACCAGTCACATGTCTACTAAAAAAAAAAAACAACATTCATATATCTACCATTTTGACTCTTGGCCCAACTTGTCCCATGTCTACCATTTTGACTCTTGGCCCAACTTGTCCCATGTCTACCATTTTGACTCTTGGCCCAACTTGTCCCATGTCTACCATTTTGACTCTTGGCCCAGTTTTGTCCCATGATTAAACCATTTTGACTCTTGGCCCAACTTGTCCCATGTCTACCATTTTCAACTCTGGGCCCAACTTGTCCCATGTCTACCATTTTTGACTCTTGGCCCAACTTGTCCCATCTCTATATTTTGACTCTTGGCCCCAACATGTCCCATCTTTTCCCATCTCACCATTTAAACTCTTAAGAAATGGATTTTCATGTCTATCATTTTGACTGTCAGGCCAAATCCAAAGAAGGATTTGCAATGTAATCGGTCCTGACTTCACATCTCATAGACATGATGTGGCTTCTCACTGTCTTTCCTACAAATATTTTCATGGCTGCTGTTCTGATGAGCTATCTTCCCTAATGCCCCAACTACACAAATTTAAGCATGCTACTAGATTGGCATTTAGGTCCCACCCTTTTACTGTTGAAATAGTTAAATGCAGCCACCACTTTTACTAAAGCAGTTGCTTTGCTTGCACTTCCTGACAGTGAAACTCCCTTCCTCTTTTTTGTGTCTCTGATAAGTACAATCTGCAAAAATTTAAATGCAACATCAATTGCCATTTTTTTGTTGCCATGATCCCTGTTCTTCTTTTATCCTTTCCTCAGTCCCCTCTATAGACAGTCTTTTCTCTCACTTTCAACCCCATGTGTCCTAGTGGCTCTCCTGATTGCTTGGGGTGAAATGTTTAAAAAGAAATAAAAAAACATATATGTGTCTATCTGATGCCGTTTCCAAATGTACAATTCATATGGAAAGAGAAATATCTCTTTTGGTAGAGTAACCTTGGCATTCCCTTTTTTTCGCTAAGCATAGAAATTCACACTGTACCCAAAGCATCATGAGTACAATAAGCCAAATAAGCCTCTCTCCTTATCAAGATAAACTGCTTTAAACAACTGTTGGAGATAAAATTGACACAATTTTGTTTACTTCAGAAATACTGGAATTTAGAACTTTGAAATTTTTTTATTTTAATTTTTGCATGTTCTGTTTGTTTATTTAGTCAAAGCTTGGAAACCTGGACACTTCATTTGATGTGGATTGGGATAACAAAGTGTCTCCTGGTAAACAGCAGCAGTTTGTGGTTGTTGGCCGTAATGTGGAACAGTGGTCGTCCTGTGTTGACCACTACGATGGTAGAGACTGCCCAGACGACAGTCCTTCAAGTCACACCAGTAGAGGTAAGAGAATAGTCTTTATTATTTATTTAGAGGGTAAGTGAATGATTTTGCTGCAAAAATGGCCTGGGCCAGTGATTTTGCTGCAAAGATGACCTGGGCCAGTGATTTTGCTGCAAAGATGACCTGGGCCAGTGATTTTGCTGCAAAGATGACCTGGGCCAGTGATTTTGCTGCAAAGATGACCTGGCCAGTGATTTTGTAAAAAAGATGACCTGGGCCAGTGATTTTTTTAGAAAAAGATGATAATTAAAAAAAGGGATTTTGCTGCAACCAAGATGACCTGGGCCAGGGATTTTGCTGCTAAAATGGCCGCAGTTGGTGACTTTGCTGCAAAAATGCCTCAGGCTGGTGACTTTGCTGAAAAAATGGCTCCTTATAGTGACTTTGCTCTGAAAATTATCCTGGCCAGTGACTTTACTGCAAACCAGATGTGTCAAATTTAATAAACTTTCATACCTTAAAAATATCTTTTGTCTTTTCAGTGTCTCATAGAGAACTACGATTCAGTCCCTACCTTCCGAGTGGTTCCAGTACTAACCTTGAGAATAGTCCCACAGATAAATACCACACCCTGTTTGTTCCGAGACAGCATCTCTTGCTTCTGTTGATCAATGATAAAACGGTAAGTTTCCATTTTAATTTTGTTAAACAACTCTTCTGCAATGATTGATATGTGGCTGATGGAACGGATATTGGCATTGAATGTGGAATCCGTGAACAAAGTGGAAATTCTAGGTTGCATTCAGTTTTGCACTAATGTTTTGGGAAAAGCACGCATCCATTTCTATGCTCTCACTAGCTAGCACTTAAGTAGCAAGGTAGACTGGGCTCTCTAGCCGTGTGTGGCAACCAGTGTAAGAGAAAGAAAATTTAAAACCATGGAGTAGTCAGTGGAAATCCATTCTATTTTCTTTTCCAAGAAGTTATGGCAGTTTACAGATAATAAAGAAAAGGAAATCGTGGAGAGCCTATATCCTAAAGGGACATGAAACCTAACAAAAATGATGATTCATTAACAATCAAATATGTGTTAAAATTTCAAGAGTGCAAATGGAAAAATTGTTATGAATTCAAACAAACTATAATTTGGTGGTACATGTGAAAATGCCATTGAACATTTTTCGTTTACGCTGTTCAACTGAAAACATTGCTGCATTGCACAAGAATGTGGTAAAAATCCAGACCCCTCTATTCGTCAACGTAGGAATTGAATCTCTCCACAACAACGTTACATCGTTTCCAATTGCACTCTTGGTTGGTCGATTATGTTGACCAAAAAAATCGTGAAGTGCATGAAATGCATTTCTGTTTGAACGTCCGTTTTTGTAATAGGCTTTGATAACTTTAACATGTTCTTTGATTGTTAATCTTTCCATGGTTGAAATTGCCAAAGACATAATTTGTTAAATCTGAAAGAAAAAGAAAAAAATCATTAGATGCTTAAACTTAATTCACATTTAAAATTGGATAAGTTATTGAACACCTTATTTATATATATATATATATATATATATATATATATATATATATATATAAATTTAAAAGTAACGAAAAATCTTAGTAATCCGTATGGATAATCCCAAGGAGGATGAAATTGAGAGCTCAATGTTAAGTCAGAGCAAATAATTTTTTAATTTAAAGAAAAAACAGTTATTTTTAGGCTCCATTTGTTATAAGTGATTTCAACAGAATTTTATTTTTCTTCTGGATCTTCAGATTTAATTTTCAAAAGGTAAAATGCAAAAATGAATTAAAATTTGTTAAAATTTTGTAAAGAAGTATAAAGCTTATAAAGAAGTTACAGAAGGTGGTGAGAGTGTTTTATTGATGTCAACTTATATAATCAATAAATGCCCGTCAGAAGTGAAAATTTTAAATTCTTTTTCGTTTTGCCTTTTGAAAGTAAATAAATGAATCCAGAGAAAAATTTTGTCTGAAATAAATCTGTTTTTACAAATGGAGCTTCAAAATATATTTTTCCTAAAATATATATATATATATATATATATTATATATATATATTATATATTTTATTATATTTAAAAAAAAAAAAGAAAATAAATTATGAAAAATATTATTTAACGATATAAAGCACTGTTTTTTTAAAAATAAAAATAATTGCTAAGAACACCGGATTATAAATCTTACTTTTCTTTCTTATTTTAATATATATATATATATATATATATATATAATAATGGACTCTCTCCCGTCGGTTTATATTATAAGAGGTTATAATAAAAACATTTTGCAATCGCTACACAAAAGCTTTCATGTTTCAATATTATAATTGTACTTCCTCAGGTGATGGTATATAACTAGTTATAAAATGATTTCTTAGGGAAATTTAAAAACAAATCGTTCACTCTTTTCCTAAAGTTAAAGTGGGGGGGGCATAAAATAGAAATTAAAAATATATTTATGGGTATGTCTCGATTAACCACTTAAGTGTCAGATCTACACTAAATAGAAAAATAAGGTCAGAGGGTGGAGGTGGGTGAGTTACTATTTCTTCAAGTCGTGATAATCCGACATATAGACATGGCACCATTGACAATTGTGGAGAATATGACAGCGACAAATGTATCGTGATTGTAGCCAGATATGACAAGTTCCATTTGTGTTGTGACCAAGTAATTGGTTAAGGAATAACAGGTTGCAGATAAATAGTGTATTGAACAGTAAATACATCAAAAGTGTTTTACACGACTTGGGAGTGTGTGTCGGTTGACCAGCGTTTAGTCTATATCACCGTTCCCCTGAGGCCTACTTCTCCTACTAACTTTATAGTAAGTAACTTTTTATCCACAATAGCCTCATTAGAGGGAAGACACCACAACAATTTGTTTAAGGTAGTTGGTAGGTTAAAAAAAAGTACTTATTACCATTTTTTAAGGCCATAGTTTATTAGTATATAATGGTCCGCTCTTTACAGATAATTACTTTTTATTGCTAAGTATTACCATCTATTTAGTATTATTAATATCATATATAGATATTCCAAATTTTGAATTTTATCTACAGGCCCTTTTAAGAAGCTTTCTGAATATAAAAAATTTTAAAAACATTTCTTCTGTTAACTTGACATCTGATTACCCTACCACCTCCCTTAAAAATGTTTTTATTTAACCTCTTATAATAAAAATATAATAATAATATTTTGCTCTACTTTGTATTGAGCACATTTTTTTAAAAAAGTAAATGCTTCAAACTGTGGATTTTTAATCCATTTGCACTTTCTCTCATTTGAAAATATATATATATATATATATATATATATATATATATATATATATATATAGATAATATTAGTGGTATTATATATACACATACATATGCAAAATATATGAATATATATATATAGGTACATACACATATATATTCAAAAAGAAAAAAAATTCCAAAAGGATAGAATCCAGGTAGAACTCAATGTCCAGGACAGTGTTTAAGCCTTTATATATATATATATATATATATATATATATATATATATTTATAATAAAATAAAATGCTTAAATATTTTTTAAAAAAAAGTAAATGTATTTTAAAATTTTTAATCCATTTGTACTTTATCTCATTTGAATATATATATATATATATATATATATATATATATATATATATATATATATATTATATATATATATATATTTTATATATATATTTTTATATATATATATATTTTATATATATATTTTATATATAAAATTAAATGCTTGCATATTTATGTCTTTAATGCAGATGACATTTTACTCATACAATGTTGCTGGGGACATGACGTCTGGCTTCAAAAAGCTTCTTAGAAACATGGTACATTGGCAGAATGCCCGAGCTCATGTCTTGGATTGTGTTGTTGTACAGAAAATGGGTTTGTATCACCACCAGCCATTTGGAGAATCACTACCCATCAAGGTAATTTGGTAATATCATTCTGTTCCCCCGAAAATAAAACAAGCATACTTGATCAAATTTACTCTTCTATGCATTGATAAGATTAAGTGAAGTCCACCTGTATTAGATAATAGACAGAAAGTATCTCCTGGCAAAAATACTACCTCCATCTCATAATACAATTTAAACACAAAGTCCGTGCCATTTTTAATTTATTAGAAAAAAAAAGGTATACAGCAAACTTGACATACCGTTAGTCGTCAAAATAATCCCCATCAACGTTCAGATCTATTTGCCAATGTGCCTCCAACTATGCAATGCCCTAGCGGTAAAAATCAAGTGTCTTGGATGTAAAGAAGTCTGTGAGTGCCTGCCAAAAGTCAACCTCATTTGTAAAAGATTTCCCATAAAGATGGTTATCCAGGGAATGGAAGAGGTGGTAATTTGTTGGCACAAGGTCAGGTGGAGTAAGATGGATGGCACAGTGTCTCCCAGCCAAGTCACCGTATGGTATCCCTGGACATTCACACCACATGAGGCCTGACATTAACATTGAAGAATAGTACACTGTTGTGATTACTATCTCTATCCCATAATAGTTGGTACATTTGCCTAGTCTTCTATGGATTATTAGCAACACTGATTAATAGATATTAATACATCTATCTCAGAATAGTTGGTACATTGGCCTAGTTTTCTTTTGATTATTGACAACACTTATCAATAAATATTACTAGCTCTGTCCCATAATAATTGGTAGATTTACCTAGTCTTCTATGGATTATTGGCAACACTGATTAATAGATATTAAAACATCTATCTCAAAATAGTTGGTACATTGGCCTAGTTTTCTTTTGATTATTGACAATTATCAACAAATATTACTAGCTCTGTCCCATAATAATTGGTACATTTGCCTAGTCTTCTATGGATTATTGGCAACACTGATTAATAGATATTAATACCTCTGTCCAATAATACATGGTACATTTTCCTTTTAATTATTAATCATGCTAATAAATGTTTAGCAAACATGGACAAATGTGGCAGCAATAAGACTGAGTATCAAAGGGTCATTTTTTTCCCATGATGCCTCTGTTATAACTACTTTCACTCTTTGGCAATGTATATTCTTTCACTCTTTGGCAATGTATATTCTTTCACTTTTTGGCAATATATATTCTTTTAAAAATGGATTATTATCTCCATTATTATCTCAAAAGTAAATGATTCCAATGCAAAATATTTTCTGGCTTTAAGTAACCTGAAAAGGGTTGATATACCATAAAAAAATGAATTGTTCTTCCTAATGTAGTTGATTACAAATGAACACTTCATTATGGCTGTTCTGGCCCATTGCTGAGTAACTCTGAGATATATGCCATGAGCACAAGACCAGATATGGAAGCAATATTCAATGTACCGTCTCTCGATTAATGACTGTTACTATTTGTTTCTCTCACAGCAGCAAAATCCTTTCACACAATCCAATATGGATATCGACATGCTGGTGATGAAGACTTACCTTCCAAAGGATGTAACCAAACGTAACAACAGTATGATATCTGCAGGTATGCCTTACTGCCCACAAATGATGGGAATACTTCGGCCTTTTGATGAGATCTACCGGAACTTAAAGCCTGCTCAACCACTCCACCATTCACCTTACAATAACAAATATGATGTTGTTCTGCGGCATGGACAACAGGCACAAGAAATCAGAAACAATTACAGAAAAGGTACCAACAATTTATTTTCAACCACTGCTTCTTCAATTTTATTTTTGCATTTTTTAATTTTTAATATTAGAATTCATACAAGTCTCGAGAGCCACCCAAGGTAGAAGGTTGCTTTTAAAATGGTTATGATGAATGAGGTGTTTCATATGCATGAAAAAGAGGTGGCAGGAAGTGAATATTATGAAAATAAGGATGTTAGATAAGGATTGACCTTTGATGTTCTGAGGTCAAGATAGTAGTGTTGAGGGTACTTCCAAAATATTTATGATCAATGATACGAAGGATAGATAACAATTGATCTTTGACATCAGGAGCTTAAGAGTTTTGTGTCCATGGAAGCACCCCCATGCAGGTGCTTGTTCTAGAAAATGGCAGTTATATATATATATATATATATATATATATATATAAGGAAAAGCTCAATACATCATTAACGAGTTTGGTAATAATTTATTTCACACAGACAACTGCCTCATCAGGCCGGAGTTATAAAATGGTTTAAATCATTCAGACAAATTATTAAAGATTGCAAAAGGAAATGAATAAAAGATTTGACCTAGAAAAATCCTTGAAAGGATAAGAGGAAGTAGGGGGGTTGGGTGGGGGTGTAGAAGTTCGGAAGAAAAAACAGTGTCAACCCAATGAGCAGGGCTGGTAGAGAGAATACAAAGTTGCAGCAAGTGAAATACATTGAAAATAAATCAAATTTATATCCTCATCATCTAAACTGAAAAAAAATTATATATATATATATATGTGTGTGTGTGTGTGTGTAAAAGAAAAAAGTGAAAAGGTAAAATATTTTGCACACACACATATATATATATATATATATATATATATATACACACACACACATACATATATGCATATACACAGCCATATATATATATATATATATATATATATATATATATATATATATATTGTGATGATATAATTAACTTCCCCATTCACGATAATGGACGGACTGGTTGCCGATTAAGTAATGACCACAGCGGACAGTGAAAAGGGTCTTCGTTTGTTAACACCTATTGAGGTTAGCTTACCCTGACTCTCTCTCTGTATTTTGACATACCTACATCCGATTATAAAATTATTATTGAAAAACCAACACTCGGGTTTACTTTGTTTATTATATCTTGCACGAGATATAACAATATATATATAATTGGTATGTAATGTTTCACAGTAGATATAAAAATAGGTACAAGTGTTTACCCACTGTTCAACTGGTGGCTGGGCATTAAGTCATTTTTCTCTACCACCGGTAAAGCGGTGGTCAGGGCTCAAAGGATTAAATTACTTCCAACTCAAGAAAATCTGAAAATCCATGAAACAAATAGATGTAAAATAAATGTAAAAGTATACAGAACAATTGAAGAATCCAAACAATATGGAATATGATCCATAAAATTGCTGGAAAAAATAAAAGCACCATTATGACATTTTTGTCAAAAGAGAATATTGCAAATTTATGAGCACAAATCTTTTCTCAAAATTCTTCCTCAAAAAATTCTAGTAAGCTATTTCAGAATATCAAAACAAAAGAAGAGAAGAAAAAATTAAATTTCTGTTCTAGCAATAATGAAAATTACAACCAGGCTCTTACTTTACCAGAATTACTAGAGTCTATCAGAAAATCACACAATACAGCAGTTGGCCCAGATAAAATTCACTATGAATTCTTAAAAAAAAAAAAAAACTTACAAAATGTTTCCTTGAATTACTTACTCAAAATTTTCAACAACATATGGGTCAATGGTAATATTCCCAGTTACTGGAAAAAAGCTACCATACCGTCCTGGGTATGATGATAAACTACATCCATGTCCAGGGTAAGACAATAAACTACGTCCAACAGCAAGGCCTCTGATCAGAAGGCTTTGAGGAGCATGGAACCACCTCTTAATTGCCGGTGTTCCTAGGTCCCCCCTGAGAGGGAAGTTTTAATTTTCAAAAAGGAAAGAAAAAAGGGGGAGAAAGACAGATTTCAATATAAGGTTTTTTAAAGGGACGAGAAAGAGAGATAGACATGGGGTGGGGAAAGGAAGGAAAGTGAGATGAGGAAAGAGGGAATTAAGCAAGTTGACAGGGTGACCCAGAATATATATATATATATATATATATATATATACACAAATATATTTACCAATAATCAAATCAATCTCGAAGGAAAAAAGGTTTTAAAAAAAGAAAGAACTAGAAACATGAAAGTCTGTCGAAAAAAATCGCACAGATACAGGTTCAAAGCCCAAAGAAAAAACCCCGACATGAGTAAACAACTAACTAAAAAGAGCTCCATGCAACCGTAGAGCAGACTTAGTCAAACTTAGTGAGCCAGACAAACCTACCCAGGTTTCACCTAATGGATCATCAGGAGCTGGCTTTCCTGACGATCTTCTTAGGTGAAACCTGGGTAGGTGGTTCACTAGGTTTTATATATATATATATATATATATATATATATATATATATATATATATTGTTTATGTGACTTTTTTTTTAATTTGAACACTCGGGTTTTGTTTGTTCTCAATATAGATTCATGTGTCTTTATTTTTGGCCTTTTTTCTTTTCAGACATGGACAAAGTGTTAAAACTTCGAGAATTACATTCCATGTGGTTCAGTAAGAACTTTGCATCCATTTCAGTAAGAAGACAATTTTCACTTTTTTTGCCTTTTTTGGGGTCTCCTTTGTTAACACTTCAGCTGATGTAGGCATACATCTTTACAAACTTACATTGCTTGTTGTTTATATATATATATATATATATATATATATATATATATATATATATAAATTTCCAAAATGCTCTGACATATCATTAAAAAACTTACAGTGCCTGCTGTTGACACACATACACTTATATATATATATACACCAACACATTTCCTAGGTATACTTATATATCTTTACAAAAAGTAACCATTCAAATAGCATTGGAAAACAGAAACTTTGTTTTGAATTGACAGGCTATTTTCTGCTTAAAATACTGGAAGTAAACATTGTGAAGTGTTATTTTAAGCACCCCTCTCAAGGCGACAGAATGTGCCTGCAGCTACAGGGGAGAAAACTTGTACAGTGACATCATGCGACTACAACATAGTAAAGGTTGAAACAGAAAAATTTTCTTAGCTGTAAAGAAAATTGTACTGAACTGTTACGTAATATCAGTCCTCCTATATGGCAGTGAAAGCTGGGCAATCTCCTCACATATGAAGAAGAGACTTGAAACAAGAGAAACAAAAAAAAGTATACTGAACTGTTAGGTAATATCAGTCCTCCTATATGGCAGTGAATGCTGGACAATCTCCTCACAGATGAAGAGGAGACTTGAAGCAACAAAAATATGCTTCTCCAGAAGGATGCTGAAAATTCCATGGACTAAACATGTGAGCAAAGACAGTTTTAGTGAAAATGGAAACAAAAAGGACACATTCTTAAGGTCAGAAAGAGACAGTTGAAATTTTTAGGGCACATAATGAAGAAAGAGGGGTTGGAAAATTTGATACTCACAGGACAGAATGTAAACAAAAAGGATAGAGAAAAACAACACGCAATCTACCTAGTAAGTTTCTGTAAATAGATGACAGAACAGGGTTTAGGAGAGATTAAGATAAAATATAAAATTCTGTTCTGCCGTCCATTTCCTCAGACTCGCTAGGTAGGTTACGCATTGTGCAGGAAATTGTAGAGAGCCATAAACACCAACATCCTGAAAGGATACAGATGACGACTAGCAGTAGAGCCCGGGGGATGTGACAGTAAGAGATAGATCAAGTATTGACAATCATAAAGACTGAAAAATAAAATTGACAAAGATTATTGTTTAAGGTTGATGGACACGCATGTCTTAATTAGTTTTTTTGTTTTGTTTTTTTACAGATTGGTCAAACCCAAACTCAAACAAAAACATTCTTTTCAATCATTATGAGTCTATCGATTGAATAGAATTTTATTATAAACAATTGTCTTGTAAATGGAATTTTTAAAGCATTCTGAATGTAAAAATAAAGAAAAAAGTGTGCAAGACAATAAGAAACACTACCTGCCAAAAAAAAAGTGAAGTTTTGTTGAAATCGGTTGAAAAATGTAGGAAATCCGATCCCATATATAAATGAACACACACATACAAACAACCTGGGTTTTATAATAAGTATAACTCGATATGAGTTGTCTCCGTTTCATTCATTTCAGTGATGCCTCTTAATTGTGTTTTCAAATTGATTTAGTGCAAAAACAATTGTGTTTTTCCAATTTTTGGAACTGTCAGAACCACCGCAAGGTAATTTTATGCAGTCCTGTGAAGTTTTGTTAAAATCGGTTGAAAAATGTAGGAAATATGATCCAATATATAAACGAATAAACACACACAACCTGGGTTTTATAATAAGTATGATGACAATTCAGACCACAGCAGTGTTGGAGTTTGCAATCATAGTGTGAAAGGCGCTGCTGATTTGAGAAAACTTGCTGTCACTTATTCTTCAGCAATAATCACTTGGCATCTGGTGTGAATGTGCACAAATTCATCAAATACAATAATGAGGAAAGATTAAGACAATTTAAACCACAGCAGTGATGGGGTCTGCAATCATAGTGTGAAAGGCGCTTGGGATTTGAGAAGATTTGTTATCACTTACTCTTCAGAAATAATTACCTGACATCTGGTATAAACGTGAAAATTTATAAGATATCATAGAAAGCAATCACCATTTATCAAGACTGAAAGAGAAATTGATGTTACTTAATTCTTGAACATTTTATGTCATAAAATAATGTTCCTTTTTAATTTATTTTCATGCATTACAGGAAGACATCATTCATCTGCTGAAGCAGTCCTCTCGGCTTCTTCATTACTGTGCCACACCTCTTCTGTTCTCCCCAGCCTGGCGCCGGGAAGTGCTAAAGAGAGTGCCATCCAAGAAGCCTGAGCCAACACCTTCACCGGTCATCCAAGAAAAAACTGATGTGAAAGTAGTAAGTTCTTTATAATTGTCTAATTTAGCCAGTGAATCAACCAATGTTCGAGTGACTTGTCCTTTGAGCAGCTCTTTCACATAAACCTGCTCATCAAGGTCAGAGTATTTGATAGTTTATCAGACCATCTGATCCTGATGAGCAAAATGCTAGAGTTTTTCTTTTGTTTATACTAATATTCACTCAATACAAGCCCCAAGAGCCACTCAAAGTAGAGAGTTACTGTATGGCGCTGTATGAGTGTAAGAAAGGTCTAAGCAGGAAAGAAGACTGTTACTCCTACATTTGAAGAGGTCAACATTGTAGTGATTGGGAAAGCATCCTGCCAGAAGTCTATTCAACAAAGCAGCAGTTCTTTGGAAGAAGCTGACTGGGTGGAACTTCCTCCTTACTATTGGAATATGAAGGATATGGGGATGATTCACCTTTGAGTACGTGGCATAGTGAGTCCCAGTTGTAAAGGTCAGGGGTGGTTGGTTTAAGGAATGTAGCTTGTTAACTTACATGCCATGGAAGTAGCAATAGTGCAATGAGAGGCTTGCAACGTTTGACTTGTGGGAAAGGGGTTATAGGATGGAAAATAATTAATCACCCCCAAGTCCGTGTAGACACGTTTGAATATCATGACAGGTAAGTGAGGACTGGAAGTTGTTATATAAGAATAAAGTGTCACTGCCGACACTTGAGTTTGAACATAGATCTCCAGTGAGTAAACACAGGCAATCCCATTATTGAATTAAGTAGACTACATGACCATAAATGAAATGCATATATTGGAAGTAGCATGTGTCTAATTGATCGTCATTTCTAGTCTATCCTCTATTACTATTCGGATATGCACTTCTATTCTATTCTATTCTCTATTACTATACTGACCGCTATTCTTTACTTTATTCACTACACTATTTCTCTATTTGGATCACTATATGGACCAGTATTCGGGCGAGTATTATCAAGCAAGTACTATTAATGCAAGTGTTATTTGAAGGTATCTGACACCAGTATTGTTCAATGTCCTATTATAGCAGGGTCCCAGCTATAGGCAAATAGTTAACCCCGAAACTGAGGTAAAAAGCCTTATGAAAGTGTAAAAATAGGTTTTAATACCAGAAACACTTTGTAAAAAAATTATTACCAGAAATAGACTTTTGACAAAAGAAATATTACAAGGGAAAAAAGTTGTTGGCATTAAATGACCCATTGAGGTTGATATGCTGTAAACCAAACTAAACTTTCCCTTAACATTATTTACATTCTTCGGACTATTGTCCTCATCTTTGTCACCATATTTATTACAACGTTTCGGCTGTTGTACGCTCGGCCTTCTTCAGGTGGTTGGAATGTCGAACTGAACCCTTTATATTGTTCATTGGGGTAGACTGTTCTAGTTCCACGTGCCATGTTTGATGGATGTCAGTTATCTCCTGTTAATTTCCCTCTAAAAGTTCTCCACTGCCTTAACCGGGTATTGAACTCTTTTTTGGGTCCTGTCACATTGTAATAAATATGGCGACAAAGATGAGGACAATAGTCCAAAGAATGTAAATAATGAAATGTAGACTTTCCATTAACAGTTGTACAAAAGTACTGTAATTCCCACTTTTCTTGAAACACACAAATTAATTTTTTTAGATAATTTTCTTTTTTTTATGAGATGGAGTAGAATTCAAAAATTTTAAGTCAAAATATTACAAAATTATGAATGTTTTCACTTTACATTTGTTCTTATTTAGTTGTCAAGTATAATCACATGATTAATCAGAAGTTAAAAATAGTCAAACAAAAAAAACCATTGAGATAGAATAAACAATCTACTCATAATAATTGAAAAAAAAATATCTCATTTTTTTAATAATTTGCATTAAACAAAATTCTCAATATACCATGGTTATAGAAACCTTTTGATGGCAGCCAGGATGCATGTAAAAGCTGCATGCAGCCAGCAGGCTGCAAGTTTGACACACCTGCATTACACACTCCTGAAGACTGACTTGTCAAAACTCCATGCAATTTGTTCTTATATCAATCAACACATCACAAACAACCAGAATACAACTATCAACATAATCCACAAATATTAATGGATAATACAAAAAACTCTACAACAATGATTCCCAATGTAGTGCATGTTAATATTTCAGTGGAGCATGCATAGGATGTGCACCCTTCTTTCTGATCTAAGACAAATTGATTTTCCAACATGGCTGATGCAGTGGATATTTCTGATATTTCAATGCAGTACCAAGAAGAACACTTGGAGATTCAAAATGATGAATCTGTTAAAACTTTATTCAATATAAAAAGGAGTTATGGCATGGCTTTGGGATGAGATAGTAACTGTGATGTGTGATGAAAGCAGATAGCCTAAACACTCATGCTTGCATCTATTAAGGTTAATTTCCGCCTAGCAACGGAATAAAGGTCACGTGGGAGTCTTATGACATTTTGGGAAGGCAGGAAAAAAAGGTTGACTGACCCAATTAAAAAGAAGGGACAAATGTCTAGAAAAAAGCTAGACAGGGACTGATGTAAGCTAGAATTATATACAAAACTTAAGACACATGACAGTCAGAGATTCACTTTGAGAATCAGTTGCTATCTCGACTTTGAAGAGGCAAGACCTGAATTGAAAGCGCTGATAGTTTATGAATGGAAAGATAAGATGCATTTGATAGTGATGGAACTTATCCAGTTCAACCCAGGCAACTCTGGACAAGAAATATAACAAGAAGTATTCCTGTTCGAGAACCCCAAATTGAAGACGCAGAGAACTTTATCAAACAGTGGTCTTAAAAATATTTTTGTTTATCAGTTGTCCAAATGACCTGGGAGAGATATCATCTCTCCACAGGTGTGAGAATGTATATATCTCATAAAAAAATATGAAAATTTTATAAACCCATTCGTCGGCTGGGGCATATGACAGTAAATTCCACCACCGTTGCAAGAAATTTGTTGTTACCATTTCCATCTTCATATTTAGCTGAATGTGGCTTTACTGCTGTAAATGATTTATATTTGAAGAAAAGAAATCGACTGGTTTATCACTAAACGAGGAGACCTGAGGCTTAAGCTGACTAAATTGGTGTCTAATATAAAATCTATCTGTAGCAGACATGATGCACAAGGATCTCACTGTAATTTTGTGACAAGCTCAAATTTCATTTTGCATTATTATTTCATGATTAAAATGATCAAAGTTATATTACAGAATAAGCTTTCATTCAAATATTTTATATTTTTGCCTTTCAGTTCTCTATTATATATTTTGAAACTGTTTTTTTAATTTAATTTTTTTTCCTTTCATGGACGCCATGACCTTTGGAGGCTTGTTTCAAAACCAAGTTAATGGCTTTTTAAGCTTCCTTCACGTTAACAGAAGTAAAATTTTGAATATGTAAGAATTAAATGTCACAGGGGAGCACCAAAATTTTAGAAATACCAAAGTGGGTCATGGCCCAAAATCAGTTTGGAACCACTGCTCTACAGCACCCATTGCAAGATACAAAATTCTCTAATATTATGCATAATAAACAGCCCACATTAAATATCATTCGCCACAGGAGATAGTATCTTGAAGTACAAATGATATTGTAGTGTCTTAATAAACCAAGCATCATCAGCAGCTCTGGAAGTATTAAAAAAAACAATGTGAATCCTTAAAGTAACTCTCTTCCAGGTTTTCCTTTCAAAATGTAGGACATGAACATTACACACTGAAGCAAAAAGGGCTGCAAATGCTTCACACTAAAACCCACCTACACAGGCAAATCATGCTCAAATACATTCGTTAATGTTTCCTTGTGTCTGCATTTTACTTTTAGGAAAAAAGATAACACTTCTCACCAGTTGGTCCTGGGTCACTTCCCATGCTGATCAATCCTGCCACTGGCCGACTCAGTTAAGTGCCTGTCGATCAGGATAATTTTGAACCTTAGCATTTACTCAATCTGCAAGGGTAGATTGTTTTTGTTCTTCGATATGAACAGGGGAATGTGAACAATCTATTTCCATAAATTAAGCAGTAAATAAAAGATTAAATTCCTTAAAGGTTACCTGGATTAATAGACATCTGAGGAAGACTGACAAGCAAAACAGCCGAAATATTATGATGATAATAACAAAGATGAGGACATTAGTCCTAATCTAAATAATATTCATAAGATGACAGTAGTTTTGAAAAAAAAGGATTTAAATTCAGAAGCTTGAACATGTTCTGCCCCAAATGATATTAACCTTGAACACCTTGACTAGTTAATTTCATATGTCATCTTGATGTTGTGTTATCAGTTTTTGTATGCCAGTAGAAAATGACGGAGATAGTGTGCCATTGTCACTATAGTCATCATGGGTTGTACTGGTTGTACCACTGCATTAGTCTTCACAGCTATCTTCAGGCCAAGACATCAAACTCTCGATTTCTCACTGAAAGTCGAGAGCTGTCTTTTCACCAGGTGAAATTTTTTTTTTTCTTTTCTGTTGCAATAACAAACCACATAGGGTCTGTTTCTCCTGCTATATATATATTAGCGATTTCATGTCTGACGATCACTAAAGCGTGAAACCCAGGGTCACAAACTCACATCTATCCAACCAAATATGTTAGCTCTATCTATGATATTGAAAAGATATTTATAATACTGTCAAGATATAATATATAAATAATTATACATATTATATTTATTTATATTTATATACACTTTTCACACACACACACACACACACACACACACATATATATATATATATATATATATATATATATATTTATGAGACAAACCTATTTTAGGTTTTTTTTTTAGGTTTCACCAAAATGGGATAGTCTATAAAAACTTGCCTTTTCTGTTTTCTAACTTTCCCTGACGATCCGTTTAGGTGAAACCTAGGTAGGTTTGTCTGGCTCACTAGGTGTATCTAGGTCTGCTCTACGGTTGTATTGAGCTCTTTTTTGTTAGTTAGTTGTTACTCGTATCGGGTTTTTTTTTTTGGGCTTCAGACCTGCATCTGTGCGATTTTTTTGTCGGCAGAAGTTCATGTTTGTAGCTCTTTTTTTTTTAAAACCTTTTTTTCCCTCGAGATTGATTTGATTAGCAAATCAAAAATTTGAGGGTTTTTCAAAACGAGTCTAGTTATATATATATATATATATATATATATATATATATATATATATATATATAGATCTTGATAAAATCAGCAATGTTATTGTTCCTGATCTGGCATCTCGGCTTCAGTCACTATCCCATAAAGTTGCCTCTCTTTGCCTTTTCTATAAATACTTTCATAATAACTGTTTGGATAAACTCTTCGCTATGGTACCTAGACTATGAATTTAAATACAGTACTAGACTGGTGATGAGTTCTCACCAATTTACAATCAAGTTGGCTAAATATAACCATAACTTCTATGCTAGCAGTTTCTTTTCTCGCACTTCTTGCTTATCGAACTCTTTTCTGGCTCTATGCTTTTCCAGTCAACTTTAATCTTCAAAAATGTAAATGCAATGTCAATAGCTTTCTGCTGTCCTCCTGATTACTCTTCTTTGGTTCACATGCCTTTTTCTGTTTTCTAATTCTTTAATATCCAGTAATCCTTTGTGTCTTAATGGCTTTACTGCCTTGCTTGTGGTGAACTCAATTAAAAAAAACGTATTGGGGTTTGTATTAGCCACTTTTTTTCTCCCAAGAAGGGAAATGTTGCCAACTACTTGTCAGTCATGGAGAGGGTACAGTGAGTGAAAGAACTTCTCTGCTCTAGCCTTTTTTCCAGATAATATGCTTGCTACCAAGCCAAAAACCTCACTGAAGAATTTTGGTGAGAGGAACTCCTTTTTTAGCAGGAAATTTCACCTTCTTGCTGAAGAAGGCCGAAGGGCACAATAGCCGAAACATTTTTGATAATAACAAAGATAAAGACATTAGTCCAAATGTAAAAATTGATAACTCCTCATACAAGGAACTGACAGGGGTAACTTTTAAATCAGCATTTACTTGCATTGTTCATATTTTTCTTTCTTTGTATTTCTTGAGACTTAATTTATTTTTGCAGAGATCTCGTCACAGTTCTGGAGCATCCATTGCTAGCCTACTGTCTAAAAGACATGACTCTTCCCAGGAAGGGAAGAAGAAGGACCGGCACTCCCAGGACTGTACTGACTCCCCCCAGCAGAGGCCAGCCTCATTAGACTCACCCCAAGAGGAAGAAGACTGGCATCGAGAAATTCGAAAGAAGTTTTTGCAACAATATATGCAACATTTGCAGTCTTTAGGATTTGTACAAATCCAGACAAGGCCGGCTTCTCCCAAAAGAATGTAAGTTGATCCTGTTTCCTCTGAGTCTAATTCTGCACTACTTGACCCAGGGATTGGACTGAAAATTACTATGTCCCTAAATTCAGAAACCAACACTTTAATCGATAAGGCTAAATCATACTATTGTAAAAATCATTTGGCCAGGGTATGTTCTTAGTTTAAAAATCAATTGGCTTAATGTATTTTTATATTAAATTAAAAATCATTTCCAATTCATTTGCATAGGGAAAATCATTGGCCAATGCATTTTCATAGTAAAAATCATTGGCCAATGCGTTTTCATAGTAAAAATCATTGGCCAATGCGTTTTCATAGTAAAAATCATTGGCCAATGCATTTTCATAGTAAAAATCATTTAATATTTTTATAATAAAATCATTGGCCAATGCATTTTCATATTAAAAATTAAACTAGCATTTTGGCATTATATGTTGACCGTGCTTGATTAAAAAAAATGTACGACTCATACAGCAATCGCTATCACTTGACTTAAAAATATTTTTACCCTTCCTTGCCTTTAAAGGAGTGCCCTTTGCCATGCTGATGTTGCTACATGCCTTACTTCCTGCCTATCTCACACTGCTAATTTTTTCTAAGCTCTATACTAAACATTAAATCTGTTACAAAAAAAGAACTAAACAAAATGAACACAAAACGATCAGCTTTTAAAAAAGGACTCGTAACTGAAAAAAACGAATGAAAAAAGAATGTTAACGACAAATACTTTTTCACACCCAACCCAGATCAGAATCAACGTTGAGTTAAAGCAAGCGAATGAGCCAATTGGAGTAAAGTGCCATGCAGATTTAAATTTTTCCCACTTGTGATGAATGCATCTATCGATTTTTTTTTGCATGCTAGCATGCTAGTTAACATTCGTGTCAGTCAGCTGTTGGCTCTCACACTGGCCAATAGAATCTTCTTGCCTATTCGTGGCAACCAGCTATAGGCTCTCACTCTGGCCAGTAGAAAATGGCCACAAACTACATGAAAACTGCCGTAGAAGCAAGAAAAAAATCAATTATTTCCACTATCGATGGGAGGTGGGAAATGCAAAGTCGGTCTTGGCCTTCCCACTAACTTGGAGCATGTGCATGTAAATTTTAGTGCAAATCTGTTGAAAATTGCGACCGTGCATTTGTTACACACATACACACATCCTGCCTTTTATAGATAGAGATCATTGGGCAATGCATTTTCATAGTAAAAATTATTTCCAATGCATTTTCATAGTAAAAATCGTTGGCCAGTGCATTTTCAAAGTAAATATCATTTCTAATGCATTTTCAAAGTAAAAATCAATGAAATATATTCAATACAACTAAGATAAGGATGATAGTCTGAACGTAAGTAATGGTAATTCCTCCTCTCGGAACTTCAAACAGAAATTGTGCTTGACTATACATTCATACTTGCTGAAGAATAAAGATCAACCTTCAGGTACAACATGCCAAGCCGCCCTCATGGTGAAACACATTTTAGCTGAATTTCCTTAGCCCTTGTAAGACATAAATACTCCAAGGAAACCAACATGAGAAAACTATTTCAAAAATACTGAAACTATCAATATAATATCCTACCTTAAAAAAAAATGGTTTATATTAACACAGATAACACCTACCATAGATCATCTACAAATTATAGCTTATGGCCATATCATGTTGACACACCATTTTCCATGCACTTGGGAATACAAGGTGTTGTAACCTTGGATGCGCAGGTGGTGTAATGGATAATTGCTTGGAATTGTTAATTGGAAAGCCAAATTCCAATTCCTGTTGGGTTCATTATATTCACTTACACACAAATAACCTTGGGAAAGGTATGAATACACCACTTCTCCCTCCAGCTATGGGTTAATTAGTAAGACTTGTATCACTAAACCACTGTTATCTCAAAAAAATTCTTACAATCTAAAACTATTTTTTGGCTTTAAGTAACCTGCAAAAGGTTGATAATCCGTAGAAAATGAATGAATGAAATAACCTTTAGCTACACAGGATTGTCTTGCAGATTTATTTACCTTCTTTAGAATATAAATGTATAGAAACTACCGTGATCACAAAGTGAGGGATCAGTTTATATATTGATTGTAATATTGAATTGATCCCTGATTTTATATCTACATTATAATTTGTTTATCAAATTCTGATTAGCTATGTATCCACCTCTTCCCCCATCAAAACGGAATCAACCGTAGTCTGAAGAATGGAGTCAATGCGGATGATCTTTTCCTCAGCTACATCATATGTGCTTCACCAAGGCTGCATACAGTTTTGAATTCAGAATTTTCCTTCTCTTAGATTGGTTGCAACCCAAGGCTATAGAATCCAGTCTCCTCCTCAGCAATTGGTTAATTTGTAAGACGTCTATCAGTAAACCATTATTATTGCAAAAAAAAAAAACTTATAATCTAAAAATATTTTCTGGCTTTAAATAACCTGTAATGGATTGATAAACTGTAGAAAACAAATCAGCATATACAATGTTTATAATTCAGCATTAAATGACCCATGGGTGTTGATGTGCCGCTAAACTAAAATGATTAAAGCAAATCAAATAAATTTCCATGACTGGTATCATCTTAACTATGATGTTTTATGCTACCTCTGTCCCATAATGATTGTTAGATTTTCATATGTATTTTATATGCCAAATGTACCAGTCCTTATGGGACAAAAGTAGTATAATTTTTTTTCATTTGACTATGAAATGTCGCTGTTCTGCCATCCGATTTTGTCTTATTGCTTATCTGACCTTGCGAGGTGGATTTTAAGTGTGAAATGTTCTTTTTGAATTCTTCAGTAATGGCCGAGGCAATTTGCGAAAGCTGGCATCTGAAGGTGGCCGGACTGTCCGAGATGAATGTGACCAAGGAAAGAAGGAAGTCTATGACATGCAAAAGACATTATCGGGTGGAATGATTTTGGTTGAACTCAACTTCTGTGATCAGCATTATTATGTGAAACTTTATGGCTATGATTGCTCACGGATGGGCGCAAATGTCAATTCTCAGGTAAGAAATTGGAGGTTGACAAATTGTTCTTTTCTCTCCTGACTTTAGAATAGATTTTTTTCTTTATTTTTAAAATTTTTTTCTTTATTGCTTTCTTCTTTTTATTTGTTTCTTCTTTCTCTTTCTTTCTTCCTTTTTACTTTCTCCTTTTTTTCGTCTTTTCTTTCTTTTGTCTTTCATCTTTTTTTTCCTTTCGTCTTTTTTCTTTTTCTTTTTTTTTCCTTTCTTTTACATTTTTCTGGTCTTGATAAAAAGGTGTTTTTTTTCTGCATGAAAAGGTACTTTTTCTTTTCCTTTCTCCTTTCTCTCCCTTTTCCTCTCTCCTTTCTCTCCCTTTTCCTCTCTCCTTTTCTCTCTCCCTTTTCCACTCTCCTTTTCTCTCTCCCTTTTCCACTCTCCTTTTCTCTCTCCCTTTTCCTCCTTTTTCTCTCTCTTTCCAATATCCTTTTTCTCTCTCCCTTTTCTCTAAACAGGAATCCTTTCCACTCTCCTTTTCTCTCTCCCTTTTCCACTCTCCTTTTCTCTCTCCCTTTTCTATTTTCTCTCCACCTTTCTAAATTTCCTCTCTATTTTTCTTTAGGTTTTAATGTTCTCTTCTTTCTCCCTTTTCCTCTCTTCTTTCTCCCTTTTCCTCTCTGCTTTCTCCCTTTTCCTCTGCTTTCTCTCTCCTTTCCTTTCTCTCTGCTTTCTCTCTCCTTTCCTTTCTCTCTGCTTTCTCTCTCCTTTCCTTTCTCTCTGCTTTCTCTCTCCTTTCCTTTCTCTCTCCCTTCTCTCTCTTTTCTTATCCTTTCTCTCTCCCTTCTCTCTCTTTTCTTATCCTTTCTCTCTCCCTTCTCTCTCTTTTCTTATCCTTTCTCTCTCCCTTCTCTCTCTTTTCTTATCCTTTCTCTCTTTTTCTTCCTGCTTTTCTTTTTTCTCTTTCTCTCTTTTTTCCCTTGTCTGATTAAAAGGCATTTTGTTTTTTTCTTACTGAATCTTTTTGTTTCTTTTCTCCACCCACAACCCTTATGTCTGATGTAAGATCAGATATTTTAGTTTTATTTTATTTTGTCTGACAAATGTATTTTTCCTTTTGCTTTTATTTTATCTCCTCCTCCTCCTCCTCCTCCTTCTCCTTCTTCTTCTTCTTCTTAAAGGAAGACTCTCCAAAAAAAAAAGTGTTTTGTGTTAAGATCTTTACCCCTAAAAAACATTAATAAAATACAGTGATTTTAGTTCAGTCTGATCAGATCATTCTTGTAGGTGCCTTGTCCTTTCAGGACCTGGGCAATCATGGCTCTCCACAACTTCCTGTCCTTTGTTGCTCTTAGAAAGTTTTCACTTTTTGCTATCTTTCCTCATCCCTGTTAAAATGGGCAAAGAAAGGATATTGTGGACATAGAAGACAGGTAACTCGGGTATGCCTGCTAAGAGCTGAAGATGTACCTTGATACACTCGTTGCAATCCTAGATTGGCGGTTAAGCACATTCTGATTGAATGTAAAAGTGATCAGCTTAAATATAGTAAATACTACAATGTCACAAATATAAAAACGAAAAAAAAAAAATATTAAAGATGTTACCACTGGCCAGATAATAGGGTTTCTAAAAGAAATAGGAATTTTTAAATTCCTCTAAAAATTGTTTATGTATGGGTAAATAAGGACTGGTTTAAACAGCCCAAATTGATGATTTAAATAATCTGTTTAAAATGAATTGTGACTCTCAAACTGACCCCCTCCAACCTATTAAAACAAAGTACAGTGTAACCCGGATATAAGAGAGTTGTCGGGACCGGAGAAGAAGTCTCTTATATCTGGGTTTCTCTTATATCCGGGTTTGGTCTGTTTTAACACAGGCTCTAATTTGGGACCAGAGAAAATCTCTCTTATATCCGGGTCTCTTATATCTGGGTTACACTGTAATAGAAGAAAAGTATATATGTAATATAGGTATTGACCTGGTTGGCAGGGAAATCTGGTGACATTATTGAGGGGTAAGTAAAAATATTTTGTTTCACTCACTGATACACACACACACACACACACACACACACACACACACACAAAACCGACTTTATCCAATGAATTACTCTTATCTTATTTTTTTCCCAATCATTCAATCAACAGTAAGTAGAAGTAGCAAAAAAAAAAAAAATATGTAACGTGTAAATAACTAATAGAAAAATAATGTGTATAGATTTTAAAAAGAAAACGACTTTATAAAACTCAAATGGCAAGCAATATGAGACACATTCCCAAATAACAAACTTTATGAACACCAACCAAGTAACAGACAAGAAAATACAAAATTACTAAAAGAGTGAAGAGAGGACACTACGTAAAATTTGTACTCATATACAACTGCTAAGAGCAGAGAATATATACCACATTGTACTCATTGCAATCATAGATTCACACTTAAGCACATTCTGGCTGAATATAAAAGCTATCCGCTTAAACAAAGTAAATACTACAATGTTACAAATATAAAAACATTGTTTAAATATATTGTCCCTGGCCAGATAATAGGGTTTCTAAAAGAAATAGAAATTTTTAAATTCCTTTAAAAATTGTTTATGCATGGGTGTTTTCTAAAGAAGTGATTGATTTTTTATTTATTAATCTGACAGATTTCATTACTTAAACATTATTTTTAGTGGATGCCCATATTTGAGTAGACGCTCTGTATATTTATTTTTGTCTATCAGCCTTAATATTCTAGAAATCTTATTGAAGAAAAATATGCACTCTCCGGCAGAGATAGTGCATATTTTTGAAGATATAACACTATGCTAAAGAAAGTTTGTATTAGACATACAAGACTACAACTACTTTCCTCACAAATGAAACATATGCCTGTTGCTATTCTATTGCTATTTCTATGATGTGTTCTTACGAGTGACATTCCTTAATTCCACCAACCCTGACCTTTGCAACTGGGACCTGTCATACTACATACACAAGGATGAATCATCCTCATTCCCTTCAAGAAGTAAGTTCCACTTGGACAGCTTCTTCCCAAGAACTGCTGCTTTGTGGAACAGACTCCTAGCAGGATATTTTCCCAATCACTATAATCTTGACCTCTTCAAGTCTAGGGTTAACCGTTATCTTCTCCTTTTGTATTCCTATACTAAGAAGTAAGTTCCATTTGGACAGCTTCTTTCCAAGAAGTGCTGCTTTGTGGAACAGACTCCTGGTATGATGTTTTCCTAATCACTACAATCTTGACCTCTTCAAGTCTAGGGTTAACAATTATCTTTCCTGCATAATCTCATAAACTTCTTGGCTTTTCTTATGCTCATACAAGACCATACAGTTACACTCTGCCATGAGAGGCTCTTGGGTTTTGTGTTGGGTGAACATTACTATATATAAAATAAAAATTTATTTTAATGATTCAATCCTTCCAAAGTGCATTTTCATCCACAAATTAGGACCCCACTGAGCCTAAAATTCACTTTCTTACAACTACAGCATGAGAATTGGTTTTTGCTTATTTGTTTTGAAAATGATTTTTTCTTTCTTTCTCTCTCAGCTACGATTGTACTTTGTTGATGAGTGTGACACATATCGGGCACTGACGCATGTCCATTCTTTTGCTCACGACTTCCATTTGCGTTGCATCATGAATCACATTTCTGGGGAGCAGGACCTTTTCCGAAAAGACTATCATGTAACGAGTTTCTTGGCAGATTTCCTTGAAGTCTACCCAACACCCCCAAATTTCTCTCGGAACTATGTACATAGTGGTAAGTATTTCTTTGGCCATTTTCAGGAAAATGCTTTCCTAACTTTTCTTCTCTTCGTATGAAGAGAATTTGGGAAGAAATCTCTCTCTCTGTGCTTGAAGTTTTGAACATGGAATTCAAAATCACTTCAGTAATTTTCATGTGCTTTGTAATATCAATGTAATAATTTGCTATATATATATATATATATATATATATATATATATATATATATAATGTAATAATAATGGACTCTCCCGTTGGTTTCGATGTATGAGGATTTGCCAGCTTATTGATCCAGTTATGAAAGTTTATGCGCTAATCTTAAGTGGCATTTAAGACCCACTAGTGATTTACAAATAAATATATATATATATATATATATATATATATAAAATAGGAATTAAGATTACAATTTAATCTTAATTTCTATTGTATAAAATATGTTGCTCTGTTTCATTAAAACATTGAGCTCTCTGTGTGAATCAGTTTTAATATTTAATATCTTATCAGTAAGATTCACGTGGATTATATACCAATGGATTATTATATATATATATATATAAGGTCCGAATTGATGTCTACTTGTATCCATAAATCCAAATACCTGCTCAAACACATTGACCCTGATTAAAAGAGATTGCAAAATAGATTTTATGATTGTTAATATAATACGTAACAAACTATAATATACTTAGAACCCATCATTAATAACATTTCTTATATATCTATACACATATACAATCCAATATCACTGTACTTGATTTATATATATATATATATATATATAATTTCACCTTCATAAGTACAAGGCTTGATTCCAAACACATTAGTCCTGGCCTATTATTTTTTTTATATTCACACGCTTATACTATATTTCCACCTCATATTCTAGTTTAAGTTAATTGGTTTAACTAGTGTATTTTATGTAAAAAAAAGAAAAAAAGAGTTACCCCCTTTGATATATTGTTTACTTTTGAATCCAACTTTAAAATTTAATTTTTAAATTCTTTACCTTTTTGAATTTAAGAAATTGAATGGCATAAATTATTAATAGTTAATTCTAATATTTTATGCAACAACAATTAAAAAAACAAGTTTTAACACACAATTTCGAATCATCACCACAAGGATGCAAACTTTCTAATGGTCAGATTATATTTGCACCAGAAGAACTGCAAGAAACTCAAGTCATGTTAGTGACATTTGATATTATATATATATATATATAACTTTAAATAAAGATTAAATTTAGGCATTTTTTTAACCTTTGTTTCAGTTTTAAAATGGATCTTCAGGGAAGCATAAAAAAGGATGATGAAGAAATATTTATTTTGAAACCTATTTTAGGTTTTATAATATTTTAGGATTATTGATTGAGTCCATTTTGATTACATAGTGTACTGAGCACTTTACATTGTTGTCTTTTTATTATATATTTATTTTTGATTTAAACAGTTTGATAAATTGTTTAATTTGTTTTATTTATTTGTTCTTTTTTTATTTTAGAATTTATCCTTGGAAAATGATTTGTTCTAGATGCAAGTTGAGCTAAATATTTATCTAAACAATGAGTTTTTTATTTTTATATATATATATTTCATAAAATAAGAAGAAATTGATTAGATTACAAATTAGGTTTCATATTTAAAATTTAGATGAATATTTATTTATTGTTATTTGCAAATTGTTTTTTCATTCAGAATTTTGGGAAATATTAAATTATCATGAATTGAAAAATAAATATAATATTTAATAAATAAACTTTTTTTGAGTAAATTATAAAATATCTTTATCAATTTCCAAAATTGATATTAAATTTTTAAGCCCTAATATATGCAGATTGATTTTTTATAAATTTATATATATATTATATCGATTAATATAATTGTTTGATACTTAAAAATATATAGTCGGGATACAATATATCTATAAGATGAATGCATTTTGATTCATATTGCATTTTGAACCGGATTAAAAAATCTTTTTATATATGTATAATATGCAATATAAATATATATTAATATATATATATATATATTTTTGTATATGGATTTTTATAATATGTTGAATTTGTTATTAATCTATATATATATGATTTTTATTAAATTTATATATATATTCATAAATGTATATGGATTTATATATATATAATGAAAAAATATATGTTCTTATATATATAAAATTTTATGATTTATATATATATATATATATCATATTATATAATTATATTTAAATATATATATGGAATATTTTCTTTAAAAATATTTTTTATATATATGAATGTATATATAAATATATAAAATAA